TCTACAGGGTTTTTAAAGCAAGCCGTGCACCATATAAATGCTTGGGGTTAAGAGGATGGCGGTAAAGCAAGGGACCATAAAACTCACAAGATTTTCTGCTATATGATTCTGAAGGGGACACCAGTTCCTTTAGGGGGCAATGCATCTCTATGAAAGAACATTAGGAATACAGCCTGCCTATTTCTATTTTCCCCATTCTTCACTTAAAAACTCATTATTTGATTAAACATTTGGGCATCTCTAATCACGGTGTTTTATGTTTTTCTAATTTCCTTTCCAAGAATAGTGGGACAGAGACGATTTCATATGGGGAGTTTAAATTGGTTGCATGAAATTAATGGCCTTTTTGATGAGTCTGAAGCAAGAGGTAGGTAGGTAGGGGAAGCATTCACATGACATTTTAAGGACTGCTGGGACTAGTGAGGAATGCTTCAATGATAAGACATCATCTTGGGGTTAGAGGACATGATGAGGACTTTATCCTGGTTTGGTAAATTCAAGAACCTGGTTTGGAGAATTCTGTTAGGGATCTGACATCAAAGGAAACTAAATATTTACTAGAATAAGAAAAGTCTGATAGGATTGTGTGGTGAACCAGATAGCAATAGCAATAGCAGTTAGACTTATATACCGCTTCATAGGGCTTTCAGCCCTCTCTAAGCGGTTTACAAAGTCAGCATATTGCCCCCAACAACAATCTGGGTCCTCATTTTACCCACCTCGGAAGGATGGAAGTCTGAGTCAACCCTGAGCCGGTGAGATTTGAACAGCCGAACTGCAGAACTGCAGTCAGCTGAAGTAGCCTGCAGTGCTGCATTTAACCACTGCGCCACCTCAGCTTTGGGGTATGAGAGCGCGCAAACTTACTGCCTGCCTGCAGTTTGAACCAGACATATCTTTCTTCTAAAATCACCTCAGCACCTGTGATGGATCCCAAGAATGAATTAAAGAATTGTAGTGTTATATTTACACAAAGCAACTTTTTGGAACAAAGGCTGAAGTCCTAATAAGAAATGATAAAGTCATTTGAGAAGGGCAGGATAGAAATTTAATAGATAAAGAGGAATTATACTCCAAGGTTTTCAGAAGGCTCATATTTGCACTGCTTGCCAAATTACTACGTAATATTCAAATGGGCAGAATACTTGATTGGCCTGAGAGAAACATAATAGCTAAGTTGTAAGGTTGTTTGGATGGCATTAAATTCGCTACTCCAGTCTCCCCGTATGACGTAGAAATGAGCAAGTCTTGCCTTCAATCTTATAAATAGCTAGCCTGCAATAAATATCTAATTAAAGACACAATAAATTGGTAGAGACTTGGCAGAGCAGAATGACGTTTATATCCCACCCCCAAATGGATATTTAGGCATATGTATGTCTAAATAAACAATCCAGTAAAAAGAGCATGCAAGAAACTGTAACAGTCAGCCTTGAGTTTTTAATTCTTGCAGGTTTAAAATTGATTTTAAAAAATATCCATTTCCTCAAACTATGTTATGTATACCTCCCCATTTCACTTATGGAGTCAGAAAAAATTGCTCTTTGCCCCCAACTGTGAGGCGTAAGAACTTTCAATAGCTCACCTGCATCCTATGTCAGCCTGCAGCTGAGGGATGTCATTCTCCCTATTATTCTTTTGTACTGCATTACTCATTGATCTACCTGCATGCAATCCTAGACTAACAAGGGCATAATTACAGTAAAGGAGTGGCTTTCCATCAGTGATCTGTTCCTGGAATGGGCAGTAAAATACTATCATTCTTTGCTTGCACCATATGAATGATAGCAGCATCGACATAATGAGGCCCTTGTAGAAGTGAATAAAATTAGTGGAATAAAAACCCGAACTTTTAAGTCATTGTGGAAAGGTAGTCAGAATGTGAACAAAGAGGTTCTTTTTTATCTAGCAATATATCATTTATTTAAATAAGTGTCATAGCAACATGTGGGTCATAGGAATTCATCCAATGGCCCCCAGGAAAGTGCCATAGAAGTTTTACTCAAAGGTGTGTTTTCAAAAGACAATCTCCTTGAGGGGGAAAAAAAACATAGTCCAGTTGCCTTTTGAAAATGCACCTTTGACACAACCATGATCTGTATCACCGAGAATCTCCATAGACACACAAGCTTTAGTTTGGAGATGGAAATTTGTGTTGTAAGACCACCTCATTTTTACTCTAGTGCAGCGGTTCGCAACCTTTTTTTGGCCATGCCCCACCCAAGCATCTTTAAAATCCTGATGCCCCCTCCCCCCGTGACATATAATTCTTACTTTACTCAAAAAGTGAACCCTACTCATGCGGAAGAAGCCTAAAAGGCCATTAACATGGTTTAAACAAGGTTCAAATTGCCCCCCTGTGGGGCCTGGCCCCCATGTTGGGAACCATTGCTCTAGAACCTTGAAACACACTTGTAGGTCACAGTGTTCTCAACCATGTTTTGTTGAGTTCCAAGAATGAGAATGGGGTGGGATTAATCCTTAGAAGCCCTTTCACACACCTGTTATTCCAGTTTTAGAAGAAAACCTGCCTGCTAGCACCGAGCACTCGGCTTGCTTCCAGATTATGTCCCAAAGGAGGGTCCAATGTAATAGCAAAGTAGGGGCTAGGAGATGGGATTTCAGCTCTTTTACACCTTGAGGAACTTATAATTAGAAGATCCTTCAAATATCTGGGATCTGAAATGTTTCCCCTCCCCTCACTTAGGATGTTACTTCATTAAAAGTTACATTAAGGAAGTATCGGCTTCTCTGCAGCTGGACAGGAATATTTTGTAGATCAAATTCAGTTACCATTTTTTCAAATTCCTCTTTATGTTTTCCTTGGCATTCTTCTAAGACCTAGTTGATCTGTTCACTGAAAAAATAGACCCGCTTTGGAGTTAAAATGAAATGGAGTTAAATCTACAAATAGAGCTCTTTGGAAGCAGAACAAATTCTCTTTCTTTCTTGATTTTTGAGTCATAAGAAGATGGTATTTTAGACCCAATTGCCTGTTAATATATTACCTGGGTTCAACACAGGGAGGTAACCAGTTTCCCCCCACTGTGCTCAGTCTGTAATGTAAAGACAATAAAGATAAATGGACGTGGCTGAATTCTTCTGACAGCTGCACTGACTTCAGATTTTGCTGTTGTTATTGTTGGGCAGAGCTGTGGTAGAATGAAAACAAAACCTTGCTAATTGGCTTGGAATTGGATGTGGCATCTCACAGCAGTGGCTATCCTCAGCTTTTCATTTGTTTGAGTGGAATGCTTAGGCGAGAGGGAGGGAGGGAGG